GACATGTTACAATGAGCTAGCAACATACGCCGATTTCCACCCTAGTTCTTGAAGATGATCAAGTTCTATGAAATTAAAGGTGTTCCTAACGCCAACGTTCCAGGCATAATACCCGGAGAGGTCGAGCCAGAGCACAACCAGCTCCAACCTTTAAGAGAGTCACGGCCATTCCTCTGACCAACCTAGTACTGTCAAAGCACCTCTTGCTACAATGGCAAGCCAGCAAGAACAATCTTGAAGAGTTTGGTCATTCTCTACTCAGCAACTTTTTTATGAAATCATTTATTCATATGTTGAATCGTTGTCGACATTCAAAGAATATTGAATGTGTTTACTAGATGTATGTATTTAATCTGCATATTAAAGCTTACGCATAATTCTGAATGCGAATGATCTACAAATTCAGATACTTATAACTTGTACAGTTATACGAAGCGTCATATGTTCCTCGATTTGATTCAAAAAATAAATTAAAACGCAAAAATATTCTTTTCTATGAATATCTTATCATTAAAATTAGGTCGAAAATAGAAATTTTTTCGACAAATAGACTATATAGTGTAACGTAGTGCGATTGAAAACTTGGTCCGTCAACAAAGCCCTGCGCAGACGTTTCCTTGCTGTGAATCGCTCGAAAAAAAAAACCAATCTAGGGTAATCTAGACAGATGGCAACCTTAATAGAGCACAATTTTTAAATTAACAAAATATTCAAAGCAAAAGTACTGTTATATGGCTACTTTGTTATGAAAATTTCTTGCATAGCTCTTACTTTTACAAAAAAAAAATTCTCAGTGATAAAATTTAAAACAAATAAATCAATTGCTTCTTATAAAAAATTTTGTAGTTATTAAAAAGTAATAAAGTTATTTAAGCATGATTTTTAGTAGAAAAATATTATACATAAAAATTTCACTTTCTCTTACGCCTTTAAACAAAATCAAAAATTAAAAAATGACACATATAATATTACGTATGGTAGAAGAGTATAAAAAATTGTATAGTATTTACAACAATCACCGTGTAAGAATAAACAAAAAATTATTTTAACTAATGAGTCAGGTAGTGTGAGTCATTTTCTTTATAAAAAGCTTTAATAAATATATTTTTTCAAACTGAAAAAATTTTGTCCATAGCATAAAGTGGTATTTCTTTACTTTAACTTCTTAAGGAAATTACAAGTAATTAAATATTCAAATTACCATTAATGTTCAAAAAACTAAGAG